CCTCACTATGGTGCCAGAATGCACACTGACACCAGTCAGTGGCTAAAGCTGAGGAAGACAGCGAGCTGACCTATGCAGACTGGCTGTGCAGTATCAAGCGTTCTTCTGCTCTCAGGCCCATAGATTTGACTTACAGGTACATGGCTGATTCAATAATCTTGGCTGTGGACAGCACCTGGGCTCCCATATTCTGGAGCCCAATGATGTGTTTCAATGTGAATAAGGTACGTTATCATTTAAGGTCAGCACACTAAGTACTTAAGTGCTGAGAGTTGGCTGTGGAGACAGGACTAAAAGGGACAGAAAGCCATTTAAGTCCTCAGGGAAAGAAAAGATGGACTTACTTGATTAAGGGAGCCCTGGGCACTGTGGGTTACGAGTTGAAGTGTGAACCGCAAGACTAATGATTCAAACCCACTAGCCACTCTTTAGGGGGAAAGATGAAGAGGCAGCTTACTCCAGTCAAGATTTAGTCTTGGAAATCCTACATAAGGTCGCAATGGCAGCGGTTTGTTATTTGATGATAGTCAAGCCAAGTCTATTGCCATTAAACATTTTAGACTCACCAAACCAAACCCAAAGTCACTGCCATGGCGTCAACGTTGACTCATAGCCACCCTGTAGAGCAGACCCTGTGTTTTTGAGACCGTAACTCTTTATAGGCGCATAAACCCCTCTCTTTCTCTCCAGGAGCCTCTGATGGTTCATGCAGACCTTGCAAATTACAGCCCAACCCATAACCCAGATGCCCTCAGGGATCCTTAGGACTCACGGTGACCCTATATAAAAGTGCGGAAAATTTAAGGGACTACACAGCCTCATCTTTCTCCTCGGAGCTGCTGTCGGTTGGGAACTGCTGACCTGGAGGTGAGCAATCCAGTGTTTATCCCACAGCAAGTAAGGGTTAAGTACTCTTAGTCCAAGACTCACTATTCTTTCAGCACTTATTGAATACCTAATATTTCACCTTCATTTTATTAATATATATTTGCCTGGTCAGCAAAGATCTAGGAGGCTTAAACCTATTACATAAGGATATACCCAGAAAAAACGTGGAGCTTTTGCAGTATGCATTTTTCCCACTAGGTGAGCAACCAGCAACTCGCTCTGAGTTAGTGCACCCAGAGCCATCGCCTGGGAAGTCTCTCTGGTCACAACAAATTTTTTTGTAAAAGCAGTTTTGCTTGAACCTTGTTTTTGTGATGGCTGATTTAAGCGTGCGGCTGTGAAATTTTGTTTCCTGCTCAGGAAAAATGCCACTGAAGCTGTTGTGATGTTGAACACAGCTTACAAGGCCAGTGTGATGGGAAAAACTCAAATATACGAAAAACTAAAAAATTTCTCGTTTCAAAAAAGGTGAAATGTCGATCGAAGACAAACCTCATTCTGGAGGTCCGTCAACTTCCTGAACAGATGAAAATATCTACTCATAATACATATGGAGTTCATTTCACCAGGTCAGACTGGTCATCAACTTTCCTTTTAGAGGTGCTGAAAAGATTACGTAATATTGTGTGACAAAAAAGGCCTGACTTGTGGTGGATGGAGGACTGGTTTTGCCACCATGACAATGCACCTGTTCATGCAGCCATCTCAGTGCACCAGGTTTTGGCAAAAACCAGCATGTCTGTCTTGCCCCATGCACCGTATTCACCTGACTTCACTCCATTTGACTGTTTATGTGAATGAAGAGGGACATGAAAGGACCGCGATTTTATGACGTAGAAGAGGTGAAGGGAAAATAGGAGGGAGGTGTATCAGCCATCCAAACAGGTGAGCTTGAAAACTGTTACCAAGAATAGAATAGCATGTTTGACAAATGTGTTAAGTATAATGAAGAGTACTTTGAACACGATAAGGTTGTTTTGTAAAATAAAAATTAAATACACAGCTTTGGGTTAAAAAAATTCCATTTGGGGGCTACCCCCTTTATATTTCAAGCTTTGTAGTAGGTATTAGAAAAACAAAGAGTATGCTTTCCCTTCGTAGGTCACACTCTGGGAATGTGAGTTTCCAGGGAAATAACTACTGTCCTTACCCACTGGATTAAAGCGGAATTAGACCCATGCCAAAGAAATGTGCTAAATAAAAAATGTTCACAGGGATTTTGAAGCCTGTCAACAAAACAGGAGCGCAGAGAGAGGGAACTCAATAAGGGGTGGGGATGTGGAGGGAATGGGGGCGGTGCAGAATTTGCCACTACATATGAATGAAATATAAAATTTTGATTTAAAAAACCCCAAACAATGGCAAGTACTGTATTTACCAGAGCACGCAAAGAGATTTTGATGACCCTCCACAAAGTGCCTCAGACCTTCTTGATTGAAACATCACCATGAATACATTTCTTACCCTCTGTTATTGTCAAGCTGCAAAGCAAGCACTGGACTCCTAAGAGAGATCTTGATACCAGGGAACTAATATTTTGCCACATTTATGTTCAAGAGTAACACGATGAATTGTTAAAACTCATTTTATTTTTTGCTTCAATCTACTTTAATAATATAATTAAAACCAAAAACTCACTCACCACCATCATGTGGATGCTGACTCATAGCTATGGGGCTGATGGTTTTAAACTGCTGACCCTGCATTTTCACATTTTATTGATAACACTCACGAATGGTTACACACACACACACACACACACACACACACACATACACACACACACACACACACACACACACGGCCAAATCCTTAGGGTCTACACAGTAAAAAGATTTGCCCAACAGCATTTTTAAAGGTAGGTTATTAGTAAAACAGTAAGTCTCAAAATACACTGAGTATTTATTTCCCAGACCCCTAATTGCTACCTATGATCAGTTTCCTACCAAAAAAAGAAAAAAAGAGGTAAAACAAATGTGATGGCTTACAAAGGCTGCATTTTTAAAAGGCTGATATGCGTGCTGAGTGTCGACAGGTGGGGTGTCCTCCCCTCTTGGCTGTTCCAGAAGTGTAGGTGGAAGAAAAAGGCCATGGGATTAACTAAGGCAAAAAGGGAAGGCCCAACAAGCTGCAGACTCCTCTGCATGCTAGCAGGTGAGGCGGAGATCTACCTGCGAGGCGCTGAGCCAGGCAGGTAGAGGAACGTGTTGAGATGAGCTCGACGGGGCTAACTTTTCCACTCACTCGGCGCTTTCTAAGGAGAGTCTCCAGTGCCTCTGATATACAAAGGGGAGGGCTATGCTTTGGAGTCCAGTGTTTTAGAAAGTGAAACGCCACGCAAATAAGAAAAAGGCAGCCAGAGTCACGGATTCCTATTTCTCTCCAGACTGAATCTGCATTAAGCAGGGGTCACTGTAGACCAGGCCCGATGTAAAAGTCCCTTTCCCAGCATCTAGAACCGCAGGTCATTCTCACCTTTGTTTGGACATTTGCAGAAACGGGACATTTTACTAAGCCCTTCCTCTTTAGAACAACCCTTAATAGAAAATTCTTTCTTACATTGAAACAAGTATCTGTCATCTGTAAATGGTCTTTGAGACCCCCCCTCTAATCCTATCCAGTCTAAGTCTAATCCTTCTATCATACATCAGTGATTATAAAATTCACTCCTTGTTCACCTTCCTTCCCAGCTATACATTCTGATCTTTAGGGGAATCATTCCTATTTCCTACACAGTCAGACCATTCCAGCCGAGCCACGTTCTCCTGCGCATATTCAGTAAACTAATGTGTATGTTAAGATCTGGTTCCCAGAATTGAACCCCACGTCCATCCAGATGTGAATGAACCAAAGCAGAGTACGGACTGGTGAATTTCTATTAGCTGACGGCAATAGCTTTTAGAATACTATGTTATGCTCCTGACTCAAAATGGAACTCAAAGTTATAAAAGAAAAAAAAGAGTCATGAATGTTTCTTACACCGAGTGTTGCTAATACTCTTCTCATCAACACACAGCACCACACACACAATCCACTGTGTGCTCACGGGCTGCGTTTTAAAAACTGGTAAAATGGGATCTCAATACACATTCTATCTGATTCTTTTAGTTTTATGTTCAGATGTTAAAAAAATGCATAGGAATTTGTATATAGTTGTGTCCATGTGTGATTAGAATTCAATGGATGCTGAGTAAATGAATGCCAAATGTGTCAGCCAATGAACTGGAGAACTTGTTGGTTTCTGTGTCAGCTACACATTTGGTCAGCATGCTCCCTGTCTCCGCACTCTGTGGGCAGCTCAAGTGTTAGGTGACTGTATCCCCTTTGGGATGGCCTTCATTCCTGGGGTGGGGTGGGGTGGTAGTGGTGGTGAGAAAGCAACAAGGTACCAAGCAGCAGTAGATACAAAATGTGAGCAGAGACAGAAAAAGGGAAAACAGATTTAACGCCTCTTCTTGCAATCAGGATTCAGTGTTCCCAGCACTAGAAAAACATGGCTTCCCCTTACTTCTAGACTAGTCTTCTGCCTTTTAGATCTTACAACACTGTGAGTATCAAATTCAGAAGGTGAGGAGAAAGCTTATTCAAGTTTACTTTTAAAACAGCTTTAAAAGTGACCTTTCTGTCTAAATTCCTTTCAAGTTTGCCTTAGACACACAATTCTCTATTGGTGGAGAGGTATAGAAAGATCTCCAACAAGCTCCCCCCAACACCACCCCTCCCTGCCCCAAATGCCTGAGGTATAATATATGGATATTCATTTCTTTCAGGAATCAGAAATGGCCTGCATTTTTAAATATAAATTTGAGGAACCACTAAGCCTGAAGTTGAACTGAATACAATCTTATAATTAACGTCCCTTTTCCCTAGAATGAAGAACAGTAAGCTCAGGGTTACTTTCCCTTAAACAGCCACCTTTTGCAAAAGCACCCTCTTGGGCCGGTTTCTAATGTTTATCATGACATTATGATGTTGCCTAAGAATGAGCCAGCAACGGTCTTGAAGAAGTACAGCCAGAATGCTACTTAGAAGCAAGAACAGGGAGACTTTGTCTCATGTACTTTGGACATGTTATCAGGAGAAGTCAATCCCTGAAATGGGACAGCATGCTTGGTAAAGAGTTATCAAAAAAGAGGAAGACCCTCAATGAGATGGACTGACACAGTAACTGCAACAGTGGGCTCCACACACCACTGGTGAGGATGCGGAGAACTGGGCAGCCTCATTCTGTCGTCCGCAGGGTCGCTGTGAGTTGTTACTGACTCGATGGCACCTAACAGCAACAGTGATCATGACCCAGAGGGCAAGCCCGGGGCTGAACCTTAGAAAGATGGCAAGTGTGTTTCAACCCAGACACTCCAGAACGCGCGCTGCCTGCAAGATGGTTGCACAGAGTTTCCATTAAAGAATGAAGACATCTACAGAAGGATGATGGAACCAAATGAGGAATTTCTTTTGCACCTATGCTGAGTCTTTCTAGAGCCAGTGACAGACAGAGATTCTTGTTAAGGCTGTTTTCCAGAAACTCTTGTATGGGACAATGAACATCAGAAGGAAATTATGCCAAACACTGATGTGGGAAGTTCATCTCTTGACCCTACCAGGTACCACAAAGCACACAGCAGTGCTGGGCTAGCAGGGCTGCGACAAGGAGGCGTCAATATACAAGAAGCTCCAAAAGTCAGGTGAGCCTTGAGATTCAGGCATCAAGGAGCCAACCAGCCTTTTCAAAGGCCACCTCCGGTTTCCTGTGATACAGGCAACTCTGGGGAGATCTGATCCCCTGCTCCTAACATTGAAGCCGCCCGGAGGTGCTGACTGGAACATCAGTCATTCAGCCAGTGATCCTGTCACTCTTCTGGGGTCAGGGTTGCCTGCAGTTGAACTTCATCACTGGATCCCACACTCCTTGAGATTTTCCATCTCATCTCCTTCAAAGTCGGGCTTCAAACTCCTTTTTTGCTCAATTTCCACCTGTAAGGAATAGAGATTGGAGGGACACATTAGAATAGAAATGCTGCGTAAACAAATAAATAAGCCAAGAGAGGAGAATGCCGTGAGACTCCTCGTACCACTGCTAATGTTTCCGGCATTTGCTGCGCTGGAACTCCCGGCCTTGAGTACATCAGAGCTGGTACGGTTGGTCCAAAAGTCGTCTCCATCATGAAAATCCTCACTGCTTGCCATGCAGCTCCCCAAAGGTCATCTCTTCTGTGAAGCTTTTCTTGGCTCACTAGGTGCGGCTCGCTTTGGATATTCCCACCATACCTTGGTACATGTGTGGGGCTCTCCTGTAACCTGGCTTTGCAAGGATAGGGGCAGTACCTGTTCACTTCCATACCCCAATAATGTTAGCTTGCTGTAGGCCATCTTGGCCAAGTTAATCAGACAATGAACTCCTTTGTCATTGACGGTTGACACCTTCCCAATTCTTTTTAAGGTCCTTGGAGTATTTCGAGTTCTATCTACATCTACAAAATACTCCGGCTGTAATTCTGAGGGAATTGATCATTGAATCTTGCCGTGAAAGTGACACACTTCAACTAAGTCTCAATAAAGGCTGCTGCTCTCAGCACTGCCTTCTGTTTCTCACTCTGGATTAGACAAATGGCCACAGAGTCCATTCTGATGAATGTCGACCCCGGTGTGTCCATGTGGAACTGCACTCGGTGAAGTTTTCAATGGCTGATCTTTCAGAAGTAGCTCACCAGGCCTTTCTTCTGAGGTACCCATGGGTGGACTCAAACGTCCAACCTTCCAGTTAGCAGCTGGGTCCACTCACCATCTGGACCACCCTCAGACCTGTCAGGATGCTTGACTTGAGTCCCATTTGAGGGCCATGCTGTTTTGTTCCTGACCACAAGATGGAGTCTCGGTCCTTTTTGGTTAAAACGCTTCAGATCACACAATTTAAGGGAGCATTTAAGAGGACAAGTAAATTACCATATTGAGCAAATGAAAGGGTGCGCTTGTGAATATACAATTAATTATTAAATCACACTGAAAAAAACAACCCCCAACCCTTCTTCAATAACCTCTTTTTCCCTATTGGTGTTTAATCTGATACTGCATTTCTAACTGCTGGGGATATAATTAGTATTCTATCACTTTCTATGATGCCAGGAAAGCCCACATTTGTGGACATGTCCCGCAGCCTTGAGCTCCTTACTGTTACAGAAACAGTTGGCTTTGGCATTTTGTCAGCGAGAGCCTACAGGCCAGGTCATGTGTGTACTAACTGTATATAGAGCTATTCAATCCAGTCCTGCAGCTGAAATGTATGTTCTAGGTTAGTGAACCTTTTCCTGACATTCCCTTGTACTGCCAAGTTCACGGCTCTGTAGTACAAGTGCCTTTATTCCATTGCTCGGCTTTCGTTCACGAGGACAGACTGCTTTTTCTTGCAGACTCATGCACAGCTACGCACAGAGAACACCCTCGGAAACAGTCAGAGTAACCTGCACTTGCAGCAAGCATTTCTAAGAAAGATAAAAGGCGGCAAGGAGTGGCGAGGGCAAATGGAGTCAAAAACATTCACCAGAACCCCCCCGGAGGCTACCTTGTAGCTGTAGTGTGCGGAGTAATTGACCCACTTCCTGACATCGGTCTTGTCTTCCACAGAGATGGATCGGATGGCGGCTTTGGAGGCTGAGGTTGTGGGCATGCTGAACTCGACATCGACGTGACTGGCAAATCTGGAAGGCACTTCCCGGTCAGAGCCAAGTTCAAGGTGGCAGAAGAAACAGTGTGGGTGACCAGATGCTGTGAAAAGAAAACAAAGAATCAAACGATGAGGTTCTTTCTGGAGGAACCAGGAGAGACGCCAGGGCAGCCACCTCAGTAAGAACCAGCCAACCAGTCAGTTGTCATGAGTCAGTTCCAACCCCTGGCAACCCCATGTCCCTCAGAGTGGGGTATGGCCCAGGTTTGTGATGGCTAACTTTCTGAATAGGTCACCTCTTCGGAGGTGGGTGGGCTGGAGCTCCTTGCCTTTCAGTTAGCAGCTGAGCACACTAACCAATGCACTGTCCAGGGACTCCTTAACAGTACCCACAAGCCCTGCAGCTGCCAGTCTTTCAGAGTGCCCACTGCCAAGCTGAGGGTTTGCCTCAGTCAGAAGATATGCTCTGTGTGCCTTTCCATGCTTTGAAAGAATGATATCTGATTACAGTAGCCTGGTATCCTAGCAATAAAACCATGGCCTGAGAAGCTGGGCTCATCTCCTCAGCTCAGGGTGAAAATTGAATGCAGCATCAGTACTAAGCAATAGGGTCTGTAGGCTGGGAGAAAGGAATAAAAGAGACTGGCACTTAACACCTAATAAAACATCAATGATATTTGTCATTAAAAAGCATGAAGGATACCACTGAGTCATCAAGCATGTGTTCCTTACTATAAGCCCTTCTTTTGGGCTGTGCAATCACCTTTCCTAGGGGTCTTTCTTAAATCTAGTTTTGATTTTCTTTTCTAGTGTCATTTTCCTTCCTCTGGCTGAATTAACGACATGAGATAATATTTAAACCTTAGACGAAAAACATCCCCTGCAAACCCTTAGAACCAAACAACAGTCTAGCTTAACAAAGGGCCTGGTGATGGAGGAGGAACAATTCTGAAAAGAAGGGCAAGAATAGTTGCACAACTTGAAGACGGCCACCCGTGCCACCGAGCTGTCCGTGTGGGATGCTTCCATGGCTGTATGTCCCGGAGAACACTGTCAGCAGCAATGCATCATGGTAAGTCAAACAAAACCAGAACATCAATGATAGCCTTCTGGAACGAAACCACCCATCTCCTGGCAAAGATTCACTGAATCGTTTTAATAGCGCATCATTGTTTCTAAGACTATTTTCGGCATGTTTGTCTGGGTGAATGGTACATGCACAGAACAAAAACTGTATAAGCAGCACACGTGATAAGACTCATGTGACATGCTGGGTGGAAGAGTGGACCAGCAGTCAGACTAGCTGGGCTGGACGTCCAACTCTCCTGTAAGTAACAGATACCCCCGGCAAACTCGCTGTTCTCCCAAGCTCACGTCCTCATCTGTAATGTGAGGATCTTGGGGGGAGGTCAGAAAGGGGGGGGGGGGGTTGGACAATGACACAGTTGGTGATAGGTGTCATGGAGCCAACTCACAATGACCCTGTGGGAGAGAGATCAAATCACTGCCTGCGCCTGGGCCATCTTCACAGACAATCCATCTTTTCCGAGGACACTCTACCAAGCAGGATAGCCTTCTGATCACATGTCCGCAGCCCTCGAGACAAAGCCTCATCATGCTCGCTTCTAAGGAACATGTTAGTTGTACCTCTTCTGGGACGGATCGGTTTGTTCTTCTGGCAGTCCACAGCACGTTCAGTATTCATCACCAACACCAAGATTCGAATGCACCAGTTCTTCCATGGTCTCGCTTATTCACTGCCCAGTTTTCACATGTGTGCAAGGCACATGAAAATACCATGGCTTGGTTTAGGCACACCTTAGTTCTCAAATGACATTTTTGTTCCTAAACACTTTTTTTTTTAAGACGTCTTGAGCAGCCCATCTGCCCACAGCAATCTGTTGTTTGATTTTTTGACTGCTTGTTCCCTAAGCATGGATTGTGGGTCCAAGGAAAATGCAATCTTTTGGCAACTTCAATCTTTTCTCCATTCATCATGATGTTGTAAGAATAGTTGTTTTATTTTCATTGAATTGTAATCTATACTGAAGGCTGCAGTCTCTGATTTTTATCAGTGTTTCAAAGTCCTCTTCTGCTTTCAGCAAGCAAGACTGAGCTATGTGCATATCACAGGTTGTTAATAGGCCTTCTTCTAATCCTGATGCCCCATTCATTTTCACACAGCCCAGCTTTTTGGATGGTTTGCTTACCAACTATGATGAATAAGTATGGTGAAAAGATGTAACACTGACATACACCTTTCCTAATTTTAAACCTTTTGAATACAAAAATCAAACTCACTGCCATTGAGTAGGTTTCAACTCAGAGCAAATCCATTGGCCAGAGTAGAACTGCCCGGTGGGTTTGAACTGCTGAACTTGTGGTTAGAGCAGCCAAACTCATAACCCCATTGCTACAGGACTCTTTTTAAACTCTTCAGTCTCTCTTTAAACAACCGCCTCTTGGTCTATGCTGATAGGCATAATTTTTGTGACTCAATAGTTCTATAAACATATGAGTAATTCCACTGTTCTTGGACTGTACACTTAAGGCTTGATGTGCACCTGAGGGTGGTTTCTGAGGAGAAAGAGAGCTTAGTTCAGTGACGAAAACCATGGTGACACCATCACCACTCATCAGACCTAGCAGGAAACAGTTGTTGAACTTGCAGTGCCTGGTATTGTACTAAATGCTTTACTCGTATTCTCCCACTGACTGTTTCTAACAAGTCTTTGAGGCTGTTAATACTCTCTTCAGTCTACAGATAAGGAAACTGAGGCTTAGGGAAGAAAAGTGGACTGCTTCAGACCAACGCTAGACACTTGCAGAGCAATCCCACTTCACCTTGTCTGAAAGAACCTCATGGGGCCCAGCCCCTGATCTGCAGGATGACAGGGGGTAAGAGGGAAGGGGTAGTAGTAATCCCTCCCAGCAACGAGCTATGGATAAACACAAAATGACCTTGATTTAACTTTATAATTGAAACAGCCTCCTCGTTTCTAAGTTTCCCCAAAGAAACAATTCCAATTCTATTGGTCTGGCCAGGGCTTTTTAATCTCAGAAAATGAACACACTCTCCCAGGTAAATATGACACAACCAAGTATTTGTTTCCCTCTATTTCACAAAGTTAACATATTTCTTATTTTTTTAAGTTAACATATTTCAGTAGCTACTTCTGAGAGCAATACTCTGAAAAATGAATTTAAAATGCTTCTGCTGGTTTTTAGGAAAGGAACTTAAGATACGGTAATAATAAAAACTACATTTCAAAGTGTATCCATTCTGTATTAAAAAAAACAATTATGTATCACAGATGTGATCTCACCATTTATTGATCACATTTTACATGCCAAGTTCTATGTTAAGCACTTAAAAATCATGTCATTTCATTCTGAACCAACCTGTTTTGGAGATGAGGATTCCCCTAAAGCAGTGGTTCTCAACCTTCCTAATACCATGAACCTTTAATACAGTTCCATAAAATTATTTTTGTTGCTACTTCATAACTCTAATTTTGCTACTGTGATGAATCGGGTGACCCTGGTTGAGAACTGCTGCCTTAAATGTTTTGAGTAAATGGTGGAGGTCCCACAGGCATCAGGTGGTAAATCTGGGCATAAAACTCAGCTGGGCTCTGACTATGCTTTCAACTCACCTGTCTTTTAACATCTTTTTATTGGGGGGCTCGTACAAGTCATCACAATCTATACATCCATTCACTGTGTCAAGCACATTTGTTGCCGTCATCATTCTCAAAAGATTTGCTTTCTACTTCAGTCCTTGGTATCAGCTTCTCATTTTTCCCCTCCCTCCCTGTCACTACCCTCTCTCATGAACCCTTGATAATTTATAAATTATTATTTTGTCATGTCTTACACTGTCTGATGTCTCCCTTCACCCACTTTTCTGTTGTCGGTCCCCCAGGGAGGAGGTTATATGTAGATCCTTGTGATCGGTTCCCCCTCTCTACCCCACATTCCCTCCACCATTCCGGTATTGCCACTCTCACCACTGGTCCTGAAGGGTTCATTTGTCCTGGATTCCTTGTGTTTCCAGTTCCTATCTGTACCAGTGTACATCCTCTTGTCTAGCCAGATTTGTAAGGCAGAAATGGGATCATGATGGGGGGGAGTAGGGGTAGGAAGCATTTAGGAACTAGAAGAAAGTAGTATGTTTCATCATTGCTATACTGCACCCTGACTGGATTGTCTCCTCCCCACGACCATTCTGTAAGGAGATGTCCAGTTACCTACAGATGGGCTTTGGGTTTCCAATCTGCACTCCCCCTCATTCACAATGATTTGATTTTTTGTTCTTTGATGCCTGATACCTGATCCCTTTGGCACCTCATGATCACACAGGCTGTTGTGCTTCTTCCATGTGGACTTTTTTGCTTCTGAGCTAGATGGCCGCTTGTTTACCTTCAAGGCCCTGAGACCCTAGACGATGTATCTTTTGATAGTCGGGCACCATCAGCTTTCTTCACCGCATTTCCTTATTCACCCACTTTGTCTTCAGCAATGGTGTCAGGAAGGTCAATTCACCTCTATTTCTATAGAGTCAGATCACTTCAAAATATGAAGGAGCTTCCAAAAGTTTGTGGGAAAAATGCTACTATCGTTCCATCCTACTTTTCCATGCATTTTCTGAATACCTTCATATACAGAAAAAAAGAAGTCTTCCTTATAACATAAACAATAGTTTTTATCTAATTTCAATTGTATACTTGTTGGGAAGATTGAGAAATTATTTTTTTCTACAAAATCCACCCCCCTTCTCTCATGCACAGCAAGCTATGAAAACAACATTCCTTCCTAATTTCTTCTTCAAAAACTCAATCTGGAGAACTGGTGGACAGATAGGAACATCCATTTTAAAAGCGAGTATAGTTAAACTCCTGGTAATGAAATAAATAAGCCCAAAGATGATGAGCTCTTCCTTGATGCAGTTGACAAAATGTAACAAAGTCCAGAGTTTTCTTATTGGTCCTGAGAGGTTTATTTGTCCTGGATCCCCTGCTGCCAGCTCCTATCTGTATCAGTGTACGTGCTCTGGTTTAGCCGGATTTGTAGGGTAGCATTGGGGTCATGATAGTGGGGGGGAGGGCATTAAAGAACTAGAGGAAATTTGTACATTTCATCAGTGCTTTCCTGCACCCTGACTGGCTTGAGACTGTAAATCTCGAATAGAGAGTCTTTATTTCTCACTCAGAATGGCTGGCAGTTTCCAACAGGTAACCCCCTATGCCAACAGGGATGCTCTATGCCGGTGGACTGCTTTATTTCCTTCTGGAGGAGATGGGAAAGCAGCTGAACTTTGCAGGCCGCCACCTCAGGTCTGGAAAAATTGAGTGTGGGCAGGAAGACCCCGGGGAGTGCAGAGAAGGGAACGGTGCATGTGTGTTGCTGACCTGGGCCTCGGGCAACAGGCTTGTTGGGATTCAAGGTGGTAACTTGGTGACTTAGCTGGACTTGAAAACAAATCCCGCTGTGGCTGCAGATTTGGGGTGCCAGGAAGGCCAGGGGTCCCCACCCAACCTGCTGGCCAATGCCACCCATGATTGAGTTTGTGTGGCCACTCTGAGGCGGAGGCATGGAAGGTTCGGGCCAGCTTCCTCCACCGTCAGCGGGGTGAGGGTTATGCAAGTTAAGCTGCAAAAGCACCATTCCGTGGATGTGGAGAAGAGCTCAGCTTTCAGTGGTTGATGAACGATCCAGACCAATCATTGGATGCAGAGGGTGGGAGCTGGGCACCGTGACCACCAGCAAGGGCTGTGAACTTGCAATTTGACTGGAATTCAGATCCTGCACACCTAGGGAGTCTCCAGAAAAGGGTGCGATGAATTTCCTGAATTAAGACAACAGGCTACCTTTGGCCAAAAGCAGTACGAGACTAAAAATAATGAGTAACCACAATATAAAAAGCAATAATGATGGTAGGGGGGTTAAGTGAGAAATATCCCCAAATATCATTGTACTGTCCTGAATTTTAATATACCTTTCACAAGGTAAAAGCCAAACCAAACTCCCTGCCATGAAGTCAATTCTGATCCCTAGTACCTTCTAAGAGAGGGTAGGACTGCCCGGTGGGTTTCAGAGATGGTAAATCTCATGGTAGTAGAAAGCCTCCTCTTTCTCCCGACTGACTGCACTGGGAAGCACTAGAGGAAGGGTTTGCTGCCCAGGGACAAGGGAAGAACAAATGATCTAAAATCGATGACGAGGAGGGCATAGGATGCCTCAAGGGGAGCTTGATCAAGGGCACGAGCTATCAATTCCTGCCAACATTTCCCACCCCCACGGCCAGTTTTTTGCTTAGTCAGTTAGCCGTTTTTTGTTTATAAGGCATAACCCTCATGTCGCACTGTGAAATATTTAAGCAAAAGCACTTCAAAACAACTGAGCTCGTGTGTATGTGACTTATTGTGTATGTGACTTATTGGGAAAACCGCAGATCTCTATTCTCATCTGGGAATTAGTTCACGGTGTGTCTAGTTGGTGTCATCGGATAGGACACAGTGAAAAGACCTCCGGGGGAAGCCACGTGAGTGCAGATGAGTCACATCCTCCTGGGCCTTAGTCCCAAGGGTCTTTTCGGCTTGACAATCCAATAAACCCAGAATGAAGTCATCTGAATCATGCTTAGAAAACTGAAAAGCTAAACATTCCAATAAGTATAAATTTGACACCCACTTTCCTTGTCCCAAGCCACCCACCAATTTTCTCATCGTATTGCTTTCCCCACCCAGAGGTTAGTTCTCTTTTCCCACGGGCTCCAGTAACAAAGGGGAGGAGGTCAGAGTTTCTCCTTTTCCCTGGCCACGTCAGCCCCGTGGCTGTGGGCTGCCACCGAGAAAACAAAGCAGAAAACAGCGCGAACTCCAGGAGAAAAGAAGAAGCAAGAGAGGAAGACCTTGTCTTAACCATTCAGTTAGTATAGCAATGGGCTGGCAAAAGGATCCTCAAACACAGAGGCTTAACCATCTCTCCAATTGCCACATTACACCACTGCCTGACACACAATGCCTGGTGTGTGGATGCATGCCTGGAGAGGTGGCCACACTGGACCGCCTCTTACCAGCACATCCCAACACCGCTTGCTACTGTTGAGTGGGCTCCAACTCCTGGTGACCCTCCAGAATGAAATGACACACTGCCTCAGCCTACACCATTCTCACAATTGGCATTATGTTTGAGTCCACTGTGGCAATCATCAAGAGGTGGATCGGCTCATTGAGGACCTTCCTATTTTGTGCCGACCCCCTGCTTTACAAAGAAGCCTGGCCTTCAGGGACTGGGCCCTCCTGGGAGCACATCCGAAATATGTGAGCTGGTGGTGTTTTCCTGGCTTCTAAGGAGTATTCTTGCTGTATTTCTTAAAAAAAAAAAAAAAAGATTTGTTTGTTCTTCTAGCAGTCCATGGTATAGTCAATATTATTTTCCAATATCATTCAAATGCATCAGTTCTTCTTTGGACTTGATTAATTATTGTCCAGCGTTATTATGCACAGATGGTCACTGAAAATACCCTGTGACCTATCAATCAGGTCGCAGCCTGGCGATGCCTCCTTGAGGGTGTGCCCTTTCTAGAAGAGAGACAGTGAGGACGTCACCCTCCCTACTTGCTGGGATTGTGTGTGCCCCTGGAGGGGCCGTGGCCACGAGGAGGACCCTCAACAAGATGGACTGACACAGTGGCTGCAAGAACAATTGTGAGGATGGCTCAGGACCGGCCCCGTTTCCTTCAGCTGTATGTTGCAGGGGCACCTTGAGTTGGAACTGACTCGGTGGCAGCCAATAACAACAAACAACAGCAACAGCAAGCACACTGCAATAATTCCATAGTGGCAGTGTGTAGGATATCTGCTTATGAACCCAGAGTTCTTCCACACTTTGCCATCATATCCACTTTTGGTAGCAGATGGAAAACATTTATTATAAACAAGAAGAGAAGTGCTTTAAAAGCACGGAGGGACGCGGGCATTGATGCTCTCAGTCATTCATACTGCCTAGACTGCTCGCTAGGTTTGTCATTTCCCTAAAGCTCAGTGGGCCCACAAGGAAAGTCACTGCCTTTCAGAAACACCCAGCACAAAAACACCTCCCAGCCATTCTGTCCAACGGCTGGGAGCAGGCCAGTGGGGCTGATGCTTTTGTTTGGTTTTTCTTTAGTGTGTGGTGGCGGTTTAAATAAAACATCCCTTCCTTCACCTTTTTCCTGATAGAATTTAGGTCCTTTTGGATCTTCAAGGCCTGGTTGATTCTTCAGTCTAATCGGGGGACACTTCTCCATCCCCAAGTCTGCGTGCCAAATTCTGCGTTTGAGATGTTATGATTGACAGGCCTTATACAGTGTAGCTGGAATAATAAAGTTCACTTCTCACACGTATTTTACAGATGACTAGCCTTATGTTAGGAGCCCTGGTGTTGTAGTGGTTAGGAGTTTGGCTGTGATCCTCAAGGTCGGCAGTTTGAAACCACCAGCCGCTCTTTGGGAGACAGACTGGGCTTACTATTCCTATACACAGTTACAGTCTTGGGAACCCACAGGGGGTTGCTGTGAGTCAGCATTGACATGATGGCAGTGAGTCTGTTTTTTTATTTTGAGCCACATGTTGGCCTGTTACCTATACCCCATCATAGACAGACAGATATTTCTTCAGAACCCAGAGCTTATAATTTATTAAGTTAGAAAAAATATATAAGCATTAATAAGTTGCCCTGGAATTCTGCTTAGCAGAGAAAAGTAATACGGCTTTCTGAAAGTATAGGAGCCCTGGTCATATAGTGGTTGGTTATGCATTGGACTGCTAACTTCCAGGTCAGTAGTTCGAAACCACAGGAGAAAGAGGAAGCTTTCTACTCCCATAAGAGTTACAGTCTCAAGAACCCACAGGGGAGTTCTACCCTGTTCTATAGGGTTGCTATGAGTCAGAATCAACTGGGTGGCACTGAGCGTATGAATGAATGAGAATAAGGTGGTGAAAAGACAGTGAACTTTTCTGGTCTGATTCCTCCATCACTGTTCCTGCCACACAAATGCTGTTCTCAGGAGTAGGATTCAGAACTTTGATCCCAATTCTTCTGGACCCACATGGCAGTTTCCCCAGAAGAAAACCGCTACCTACCTGAGTTTTTGTCAGGCAATCGGCTTATCCTCCACACAATGGAGTTGAAAGCATGCTCATACTTGGCAGTTCCCAGAGTTACTCGCATAACAGGCTCAGAACCAGACACACTCGTTGAGCCAAAACTTGCCCCCCGGTTCACTTTGGCTTTCAAAGACTTTTCCCCCAAGACACTTTCCCTGCGGAAATTTTTCACCCACTCACTGGGCACAGGGTAGCGGACCATCACGTTCTCGCAGGGAACCTGAGTGAGAGGGTCACGGTTCGAGGAGAAGCCGGTGGACATCCTAAGCCAGCTCTGCACCTCCACCTCGGCCCCATTGATGCTTGCTGCCGTCCTGAGTGTGAAAGGCAAGGTCTTCTCGGCAAAGACAGTCCTGAACCGCATTAGCTCAAACCGGCACGCATCCAAAGGGTTGAACAGAATAACCCGTGCACTGCTGAATACACCCTCATCCACACATTCATGGAAACGGCACTCGCGGAGCTTGATCCACTTGGTGGTGGTGGTCGGCATGATGTCTTGCCGGGAGACAACTTCGTTGCCCTTGATGAGGACATCATTGAGCCCCAAGCGACACTCTGCGAGCCCAGAGAGAAAACTCAGAATGTGGATCCGAGTCAAGACCTGGTGCTGGAGAATCTGGTTATCGCCCTTGCTCACAAGGCCAGAGAATTCATCTCTGACATCCACTGTGATCTCTTCTTCAAGATAGTTCAAGCCCACGGTGCTCAAGTCCATGGACGACACGGGCAGATCCATGAGACAGTCCTGCACGGCATGGATGAAACTCCGGAAGTCGTCGTAGTCAGTGGTGCCCAGCTTAATCACCTGTTCGCGCTCTGCTGTGTGGGCCACAGCGGGTTTGGGCTGGTACTTCTTCTTCTCTTTATAGGTGACACGATCGATCCGCAAGCTGTGGATCCTGCCATTCTCATCATAGTTCTGGAGCCGAGGTTCTGAAATCTCATGACAGAGCTCCAGCTTGAACTCACGGAATGGTTTTTCTAGGCCCTGCTCATAGTACAGCTGTAGATAACCGCTCTCTGTAAGTTTGATGAAGATGGGGCCCCAGTGCCTGGAGGACATGATGTTTTTCTTCTCGGGGATCCTCAACATCATTGGCCATCCAGCCCTGGGCTGGGACAGTGCTGGTGCAGGTAGGTGATCATCTAGTTCAATCCAGGCTACTGGGTCGTCGTCTGGTAACATGGCACTGCCCGAGTGGTCAGGATCATCAATTTGGAGCTGCTTGAGTTTTTCGACTGCACTCAAGTGTGCCTGGTTTTTGCTGGGGTCGTCATCAAAACTGATAGCATCCTGGTAGATGACAATGAGGGAATCTCTGTGGCTTTTGCCTGTGGTGCTAGAAATGGAACTATTTTGGGAGAGTCTCTCTTGCGCCTCAAAGAAAGCGCTAAAAGGGTTAATCGGAGAGGGCTGCACATCCTGTAGAGTCTCATTCAAAAATGGGTTGGTTGCCCTCCAACGGGGAGCCTCAGTTATGGAAGGTGGGCGGTTCAAGGAAGAAATGTCCAGCTTCTGGACTTTAGAGACGTTCACCAAAGTGCTCTTGGGACGTTCCCTCTTAGAAGACCCCGTTGAATGATTATGAACCTCTGGGATTGCAGATGCAATAGGTGGTGTGTTTGGCTTCAGAGGGCAGGTGACCGGTGACAAAGGGCAGCTGACATCATTATCTTCAAAAGTGACCCAGCTGGGGAAATGAGCAGAGGTCCCTGGAATGGCAGGATGCCCGTTCATGGTTGGGCTGCTCGCCTGCCAATTGACGGCATCCATCTCTACTTCTTCATCTTCCTGGAGTGAGGAGGAATTGTCTTAAAAAGAAAAGAAGAAGAATCTATGAGGGGCTGTTGTTTTAACTGAACACATGTGTGAATGAGAGTTACTAGACATTTATTTGGAATCCAGTAACTTTCAATCAAAGTGACTCATCACCTGTCTCAAGTACTTACTCTGGGCCTGGATCTCAGAATTTTCTAATTACCCCATCTGGTGGCACTGGCAGGTAAGCATTAGGCTGCTGAATGCAAGGCTGGTGGTTCACACCTACCAGCCAGTTGGCAGGAAAAAGATGAGTTATCTGCTTTATAGCCTTTTATAAAGATTTATAGGCTTTAAGCCCTAGACAGTCCCTATGAGTAAGATTTGACTCAATAGGAGGGCCGTCAAAATAAATCAAATATATATCAATGGCTATACCAAGACAGAAGAATGGTAGGACCAAGGTCAGTTATAATTTAGATCTTATACACTCTTAAGTTCCAAAAGAAATGTTTTCTTTACTCTGAGGCATATATTCTTAATTTTCAAATACTGAAAACCATTGCTGTTACAAAGCTGATCTCAGTGGATAAACCAGTTCTGCTGTAAATTATACTATGACTGCAATAGTATAACCGGAGGCTTTTTAGTCCAAATGTGTTCAATAAATACTAAAGGCAAAATGTATAGTGCATTAATATGAATCAATAAGAAAAAGACAAAACTCAGAAATGCGGGCAAAGGATGTAAACAGACAAGTCACGAAAGAGAAACTACAGATTTTTAATAAGCATTTGAAAAAGAACCTCCCTAATAATCAAGGAACTGCAAAGTAAACTCAAAACATTTTCCAATACAATGAAGATTTAAAAGTTTACTCTCAGTGAGGTTAGGGTGTTGTGACACGGAAACTAAGTGGACCCTTAATGAGCCTATAAGTTGTTACAGATTCTGGAAATTGGCTGGGAATTTTGTACTAGCGACCTTACAGATGTTAAATAACTTAGTACTCCTACATTATTTCCTTAATGAAAGGGGTTAAAATTGTGAACCAAATCCATTGAAGAGATGTCCTATTAATATTACTTAGAACAGCATAAAAAGAAAATATTTTAAACCTCAGCAGTTGGATGAATGTTTAAGAAATTAAGGCACACAATGGAATAATAAACCACACACACACAAACCCACACACACCCACACCAAGCTCACCACCATTGGGTCCACTCCAACTCCGTGACCCTATAGGACAAGAAAGAACAGCCTCTGAGTTTCCCAGACTGTGACTGTTTATGGGAGTGTAAAGCCCTGTCTTTCTCCCAATGGAGTAACACTTGGCCATTAAAATATTAACGAAGCATGCAGTGATATGAGAAAATACCTATGATATAATCTCTTGCTTTCTTTTTCCCGTAAAAAGACTTTGCATATTAGCATTTCACGTTGTAGCCAAAGGTGATGCATAAGATCTGAGGTTTGTTGAAGGAAAGGTGCAAGCCCAGTGTGGGGTTAAAGGGAAGAGGGAACCCCACAAAACATCACAGGTTCAGTAGGCGCAATTGTACAGTGATAACAAGTAGAGATTATAGTAAAGTCATAGAGAGCATGAGAGTTAAAAGATGGAGTCAAGTAATGGAGTCAGCCGCAATTCATGGTAGCATTGCTCACCTCAGCCCCACTTGATGGTCCTCGTGGAGGGGACTTAGCCGTCAGAGTAGAAGCAGCTGCCTTGTCCTCCTCAGCCACCCTTCCGAGAACCAGGGAGCCTCATTATTTATTGCTAACCACGCATCATATCACTTTAGGGGGATCTGATTACAGAATCATACATCACAGAAAGGGGCAATACAATTCATCCTTGAACAAGTTTGATCACTCTGGTGTCTCATACAATAAAACAGACAATTACTATTCTGGGAGGCATGCAAGCCCCCTGATAGCAGACAATAACTTATGTCATAGGGAGGGGTAGCAACATAGGCAATACAATCAATAGGAGGGAGATGACCTAGGGGTGTGCCCATAGGAATGGGAAGGTCTAGGGTTACACATGTGACAAGATGGGCGGACCCTAGATTCATAATGGCTACCTAACCTTGGTCATCCTTGGGCGGGTTTGACCTCTCTGGTATCTCCAAGTAAACAGACAACTACTATCCTTATCAGAAGGGAGTGGGCCCTACTTAGGGTGAGTCAAACTATACAGTCTAGATAGATGATATCAGGGAGAATAACCTCTGACCTACTTTCGCTGACCGTCTAGTGAACAGTCATTCTCAAGCTAAATCTGGCATATATTTTGGGGAGACAATTTAAGAGAAATCCTTCTGTTCCCCACAGCCCAACAAATAACAAAAGTATCTGATGGCATTGTAGGACCATGAGTAACTGGTTACCACAGGGTTGACTCTGAGTAGATGCCATTGGGTTTTCAATGGCTGATTTTTAAAAAGTAGGCTACAAGAATTGTCTTTCAAGGAAAACTAAATTGTATCTCTGGGTGGATTCAAACCTCCAGTCTTTTGGTTAGTAGTCAAGTTTGTGAACAAGCTCAAGTCCTCTGAGGTTGTGGAAAGAGAAAAGTAGAGAGGGGAAAATGAATCTAAGTAAGGAAGGTTGGATTCTGATAAAAGAATGGCATGGAAAACAAAGATCTGGCACAGACACTCAAAGCACTGCTAACGGAATGAGAGGTAAGAAAATTTGCTTTGCAGCAATCTCTCTATGCTGGAGCAATGTGTGTAGTAGTAATTTCTGACATCATCCCACCTTCTGTTACCACTGCTAGTCATTTGGAATCAAAGAGAAAGGTATACTCAAATGACCACGTTTCATGATATCTTGCTAAACCATATGTATATGAATATTCAACAATGCCAAATCAGGAAGGCCACACACAATCGCATACAGGTGGATGGGACGGTTAGTAGGTTAACCACAATCCCAAGTACAGTAAAACCTGCAAAAGCCAGAAGCTATGTAAGGAGGAAATGGAGGGGCACTGAATTCTTTAATGAGACTCTTCTAGTCAAAGTTTCAAACTCCCACCAAATGACATTTCTGTCCCTGCATGGGCCTGGGAAGAAGGTGGGGGAAGATACCGATAGGATTCACTGGTGAGTCCTTGTGACTAGAATTCCCTGCTGTGTATAAAATGAGTCCTCTGAGGAGGAGGAGGGATCTCATTACCAGCAACAGCCAAGAGTAGAGTGCATCCTCTCAACTTGAGGTCCCTGCACGGGGAGCCTCCTGAATCCAGAAGACAGCTGTATCATTAGAGGAGCTGCAGAACGAGGCAGAGCACGGAACAGAGCGCTGGACTCCCCAACCCACCGAGCAAGTAAAGCTGAGCGCTCGTTTTAGAGGAGGCTGACTTGTGCAGGAGGGAGGGGGGACTCAGCACTTAATTGGGGGAGTTGAACTTGCTGACCCATGAAAGAGGAGGTGAGTGCCTTCAGGTTGAGGCTTCCCGGAGAGGGCTGCCTCTGGATACGTAATTCGGGGGGCTAGGTTTGCTGACCCGTGGAACTTGAGCTGAATGCCTTCGGGTGGAAGCTTCTGATAAGAGTGGTATGCCCCTTTGGGCATTTATTAGCAGATCTGAAACAACTTTGGTACATGTCCTGATAAACAACTCTCCTGAGCATTTCTCACTGTCATTACAACTGTTAACTTCCTTAATAAATCCTTTAATCGTGAATGCTGTCTGTGAGTTCTGTGTAGCCTTGGCAATGGATAGCAGAACCTAAGAATCAAAGTAGAGGACACTAAGCAAAGACAGGAAACCTATTGGAGAAGGAAAATTGAATCTTTTCCACCGAAAGCGATAGAAAAGGGGTAAGGCTGCCCGCACCGTGGCAAAGACTGGAAACATCCGAGCAGCAGAAATACAAGGCAGCCCTGCTGAGTGTGGGTTTTCACAGATTCCTTGTATATTTATTCAGACAGCACAGCCTTCCACTGAAAAGGTCAGTTTGAAAATACAGCTCAACGCTTCCATATATATCCGCACCTACCCTGCAGATAGAATGGGCAGAGAGTATTTTCCAAATGGACAGCATGATAAAAAGAATTTTAGAACACTTTTAAGATGAGAACTCCCTTCCGTGAAATCAAGACAACACTCTTGGGTACGCGGAAGTGATTTACTATCTGGCAAAACAGAGGAAGGGGTTTGGCAAACAACCCAGGCTTGTAGGATCTGTATTTCATTTCTTGTTATTGTGGGTGTAACGAAGGCTAAAATGGACACCGTGAAATAGTCTTTACTCTTTTATTTACTCTGCTTTGGAGCAGAGACTTAGCCTGCCTAGAGGGAACTGGGAAAGGAGGGCATCCAATAGATCTTTCCTACTGGAAGTTTGCTCTCAGACGGTCCCTGGCTGGCCGCCCCTCACGTGGGGATATCCTCTCTGCCTTGGATCACACCACCACTCCCCACTTGAAAAAGATGAAGTTCTTTTTCTTTACAGTGTGGCTTTCTGCAGCAGCTGATTGTACTTGCTGCCAAAGGATGCCCTTCTACTGGGAGTCTGTCCCCAAAATAACATTTCTCATCATCCCTCTCAAACCACGAAAGAAAGAAAGACTTGTCTCCACTGAAGACAATTTTCTTACAGTGAATTCTCTTTCAAACCAAGTCATTTAAAGTCACACTAGGTCCTAGACAGTGTTAAAAGCATAACACCCATAGTACCATTCAAATGGGAGTGTCTTTAAAACTGGAGGGTGAACTTTGGAATTAAATTCATTTCTAAAGATCCTGTTTTCTCTTTGGCAGCCATTAGAAAGATTTGATTACAAAATTATCAACTGTGACAGTCAAATTTCCCATATTAAAAAGTAGATACACTCTTTGGGGCAGTGACGGAATATAAGTCAGAGTTCTGAAAATGAAACTTTATTTTCCTGCGAAATCACTTTCAAAGCAAGGGGAGGGACAACCCTTTATAGATAAAAAGCAGAAGTTGATCCGCAGTTCCCAAGAAATAAACAAACCATTTCAGGAAGTGAACCCAAATATTGCCAAGTAAGATTTAGGGAAAGTATTCCT